ATGCTCGTACTCAGGGCCCGAGCCACGCAGGCACTATTGGTAGCCACCAAATCCTCAGTTGTGCACGAGGCGGCATGGTCTCTCCACTCCTCGGTCCAGTATTTGCTGTGGACCACCGCCACTGCAGCTGTTTCTGGAGGAAGGGCCTCCAACACTTCCCTCACCGACTCCTCCGGATTTGTGCCCAAAAAGTCAACCTCCTTAGAGGGACGGGGCCTTTTCCTCTTCTGCTGCCCCGGCACTTGAGCAATTGGCACAGCAGCAAGTGGTGTTGTAGCCGGGGTAGTGGCAGCCTCAGATGGAGCAGGCCTCTTCTCCGGAATGGCCACCCCGGTTGGAATTGTGGTTTGCTTCAGAACAGGGGGTGGCCTCACCACAGTTAGGCATTTTGGAGGGGCAGCACTTTTCTTGTCCTTCCTCCGAAGGTTAGCCTCTGGGTCCTTCGGTACCTCTTCCTCCGTCGAAGGCTGAAGCCTCTTACTGGCGTCCACCATATCCTCCATTTGCTTTTTGTAGGAGGAGGAGAAGGCCTTTAGTGCCCGTGCCTCTTCCATTATCCTCTGGATGGTCTTAAAGTCGGGGCGCACGAGCACCTTTTTATTAAAGTTGTCTGGAAAGAACGAATTATGAATTAGTACAGATATTAGGAGTTCGGAATAAAGGGTAAAGACATCGGTCCAGTTACCTTGGGATGCCATCAGGTCGTGGGTAACGAAGTGAATGTTCTTTCGGATCAGCCTATGGTAAGACCTCTTCTTTTGAGGCAGCTGATAGATGATGCAGATGGTATCGAAATCCTCCGATGACAGCTCGCACCAAGGAAGAGCACCTACAAAAGAAATGCAAATATTAGGCATGATTCGAACCGAAGAGAAATATAAAGAAAAACAACTACTATACTCACTAAGTGTTGAATACTTCGTTGGGACCGTAAGAGGCGCCAGGGGGTCCCCCTCCATCGTGTCCCATCGCCCTGCGGCCCAACACCACGAGCTCTTCCATTCTTTGATGGAGCTCGGCAGATCGAGCACGAATGGAGTGTGGAAACCCCATTAGGTAAGGTAGTACCACCCCTGGGTCTTATCCCCCCTAGCAGTTACCTTGGGTATATAAAGGGTCTGGAAGACGGAGAAGGGCATCTCCAACCCTAGTGATGCCTCTTTTCACAACAGCTAGGAGCCCACCATTTGGCTCCAAGAGTTCGGATTGAGTTGGGTCGGGGCTTGTCCATAGGATCTAAGCACCATCCTAAAGAATGGGTGAATTGGCAGCCTAAGTCCGGCCCTAAGGATCGCCTCACTATTGGCCACACAACCTGGCCTAGGGTAGCAGGCCCTCTCTTCGGGCTCGGGATCCTATACTCCATCCTAAGTCTCCCCAGGTCGGCCTCTCTTAATTTAGATGGGTAGTCCGATGCCCCCCAGTGCACAGAAGTATCTGCTGGGCTATCCGGTCGCTTCCATATATTTTCCCCCTATTATCGCCTCGGCTATTTCGGAGGAGGTCGCCACAATGGCTCGTCCATCCTCACTAGTTCTAATCCCTTTCCCGAACCAGAACTCTCCCCAGAAGCCATTTTTCTATAAAAAGGTACTGGAACTTACGAGTTTGAAGGTTTTCCTAGCCGGAAATAGTGTAAGGTCGCCGGATGTTGGTATTTCTCGCCGAAAGTTCAAAGTTTCTCGCCAAAATTGCTTAGAAAACGCCGAAAATCGCAAATGACTTGAGAGCAAAATATAGTGTTTGTTTTGCAAGGGTAAAAAGCTTGAGAAAAGCTCAGAGTCCGCCTTTTATAGAAAGACCCATCCAATCTCCACCATTGAATTCAAATGCGATCAATCTAAGCTGTTCGTCGCATCTTCAATCTGGGCCGTTGAAATGAAGTGCCAGATTTGACCTACGCCCAAGATTTTGTTGTGACTTTCACACTCGCTTAAAACGCATCATCTCGGTCACCACTAGCCGTCAATAATAAATAGCTGCAGCAGCCTTTTAGGAGAATTGGCATGTCACCCAACTGTCACCTTGGAAATACGCAACAGTTGTCAAATCATTTAACGTCTGAATCGCCTCGAATCGAGCTCCTCACTCAACTTTACAAAGTTTAGACACACCTGACGTGAAGTCCCGTGTGGGTCATCACCTCGGCCGCTGAGTTCCCTTCTAAGTTTTACAAAGTTTTACCCATCTCCCAACGCGTCGTCCCTGTGGGTCAGCGCACCGGTGGCAGATGAGCTTCTCACTCAACTTTACAAAGTTTAGACGCACCTAACATGAAGTCCCCTCTGAGTCATCGCCTCGGCCGCTGCGTTCCCTCCTAAGTTTTACAAAGTTTTAGCCATATTCCAACGCGTCGTCCCCTGTGGATCAGCGCACCAGTGGTAGATGAGCTCCTCACTCAACTTTACAAAGCTTAGACGCACCTAACGTGAAGTCCCCTATGGGTCATCGCCTCGGCCGCTACGTTCCCTCCTAAGTTTTACAAAGTTTTAGCCATCTCCCAACGCGTCGTCCATGTAGGTCAGCGCACCGGTGGCAGATGAGCTCCTCACTCAACTTTCCAAAGTTTAGACGCACCTGACGTGAAGTCCCTTGTGGGTCATCACCTCGGCCGCTGCGTTCCCTCCTAAGTTTTACAAAGTTTTAGCCATCTCCCAACGCGTCGTCCCCTGTGGATCAGCTCACCGGTGGTAGATGAGCTCCTCACTCAACTTTCCAAAGTTTAGACGCACCTGACGTGAAGTCCCTTGTGGGTCATCGCCTCGGCCGCTGGGTTCCCTCCTAAGTTTTACAAAGTTTTAGCCATCTCCCAACGCGTCGTCCCCTGTGGATCAGCTCACCGGTGGTAGATGAGCTCCTCACTCAACTTTACAAAGCTTAGACGCACCTGACGCGAAGTCCCCTCTGGGTCATCGCCTCGGCCGTTGCGTTCTCTCCTAAGTTTTACAAAGTTTTAGCCATCTCCGAACGCGTCGTCCCTGTGGGTCAGCGCACCGGTGGTAGATGAGCTCCTCACTCAACTTTACAAAGCTTAGATGCACGTGATGCGAAGTCCCCTGTGGGTCTCGTCTCGGCCGCTGCGTTCCCTCCTAAGTTTTACAAAGTTTTAGCCATCTCCCAACGCATCGTCCCCTGTGGATCAGCGCACCGGTGGCTGATGAGCTCCTCACTCAATTTTACAAAGCTTAGGCACGCCTGACGCGAGTCCCTAGTGGGTCATCGCCTCGGTCTTGCAGTGGTTATTGTTTTCCTTACGCAATAACGAAGCTTTGACGCATCCGCCTACTATAATGGCTTCGGTTACTGCAGAAGATCGACCCACAAGCTCCCATGAGTCGCAGTCCCCAGTACTGAGGCATGCACACCCGATCAGGAAAGCAAGTCCACTCATGATATAAATATTCATACCTAGACTTAGGGGACCACTGTTACGCCCCCATCTGAACCGCTTCGAAATTCCCACCACCACACAAACCGACCTGATAGACACCCATTCGAAGTGTTTCCGAAGTGATCAACGACCTGATAATGCACTGCGAGACATAGGCGATCCTGCTTAAATGACTGAAGCACCCTCGCCCCCTGAGACCGAGGCGAAGTAGTCCTCTATCAGAAGATCCACCGCCAATTTCAGAAAGGGATTTGTGCCAAGATCCTCTCTGCATCTAAGGTTTAAATTGATTTGACGTTTCCATGAGGCTAATTGATGTGATTTATCAACTTTATGTCAACTCAATTCAGGAGAAACAAACTACCCGCCCGCTCTACAGACGCGGCTGATTGACGCCTATGAGCGGACGCCTCATACCGTCAGATGTATACACGTGTTCCACATCCAACGGTTCATCCAACCTATAAATACCCACGGTTTGGCAAGAGACAAAGGTAATGAAACTCTTACTACATAGCACTTCATAGCAAGTTTGTATATTTTCTGCTCTTCTTTACTTTTTTTGGACACAACTTCTGGGTACTATTCCGACCACCTGAACCTGACTTGACTGTCGGAGTGTATACGGCCGCCACCACCCAGCTGGTCCCGGCCGTGTGCATCTGACCGTGCGTTGATTGTGTGCAGGGAGGAATACGTGAAGTAGCTATCGGTTGGCCACGTGGAAAGTCCAATTTTCGAGGTCAACATAAAATATATACATGAGTAACAATGTTAGTTATTGGATTTGATAGAAACTCAATTATTTCGATTGATAATTGTTTATATTCAGTTATATATTAATTAATGCACGTTTGGCAAATTTCAAGAAAATAACTTAAAAATAAATATATAAATTTTATGTTACTTATTTCGAAAGTAAAGAAGAACTCTCAAAAAAAGTAACATTCTTTATCATACACATTTGCAAATTAAAATAATATTTGCAAGTGTTACTCTTTATCAGATGCAATTTTTTCTTGTTAATTTGATTTTGTTTCATGGGAGTCATTTTGTTCCAAGATTTAACTTTAGGATAAAACTTACTTTTATTTTTGAAGACGGAAATTAACAAGGAGAATAAAAACAATAATTATAAGGAAATATTAGGCTTAGGGATGTTAAACGAGTCGAGTTGAGCTGGCTCATGAGTCGAAACTCAAGGCTCGGGCTCAACTCAAGTAAAATAGTGCGAACTTTTTTTCTAGATTGAATCGAGCCAAGTTTTTGCTTGATCGAAAAATCTAAGCTCGACCTGAGTTTTCGGCTTGGGCTTTTCTCGCTCGACTTGAATTTTTTTCCCCTAAAGCTCGTGAGCTCGAGCCGACGAGCCACTCGGGCTCGGGCTAGACCTGACGCTTCGAAATGGGGTTTGACCTGAGTCTTAAGTCGAGCCGGCTCGAACTTTTTTCTAAAAAATCACGGATGGTTCAAGTCGACAAGTTAAGTTAACGTCCTAATTAGGCCTCATTACCCCCAAAATTAAGAAATTTAAATAATATACTATTAATTAATTAAAATATTTAATCACATAATTAATATGATCTGAACTCCTAAGTTACGAAGCCCAAATTAGATTCTAGATTCCAGAAAACTCCCAAAGAGAGAAAAACTCCTTCTCTTCCACGACTCCGCTCCTCCTCAAGCATGATTTTGCCAACGCTGCTCCACCTTGTAACTCTACGATTTTGGACGAATTTATGTTCTATCTTTGTTTTTGTTTTTTTAATTTTTTTTTCACTCTAATATAGTCAGATTTATGGTGAAAGGAGTTGAATCTACTGTTCGAAATTCAAATTTGGACGAGGGAAAACATTGGGCCATGGAACAATCTTCAAATTAATTTCAAGCCTTATAAATCGAAGGTAAACTTTGATTCTTAGCATTAGGGTAGCAGATAGTAACTGTTGTGTTGAGTAACAATTTCATGTTAGGAAAATGCATAAAGCTCGTTCCACATTGTCAAAATAATGCTTTCCCATCTAGGTTGCGTAGCTTTGCATTCAATCCAAATTTTGTAACTTTTGCATTGTTATGTTGAAGTTTCTGTTATGCGTTGTGCCTTGATTCTGGATAACTTATGGATCTTTACTGCAAATTTCGAAGTATTTTTTTATCCACGTTAATATGCATAAAAAAGGCACTTAGTGCGCATTTGGAAAACTTAATTAGGCTATAGATTAAATTGTATGGAGGATAAAATTTGTCAAATCCAGCTTTTGATGTAAATTGTATATGGATTATTATCAGTCACTTGTACAGTTTCAGCCTAAAAAACATAAAATAAGAGGCGGGGTTCAAAAAATTTCTATTTGTGGGTTTTTTGAGTGATTTTTGTAAAACATGATGATCGTGTTTATGGCTTCAACTCCTTGGCTAGTCACATATACAAGATGCTATGAAAATTTAGCCTCCAATTGATCTGCAAAATAATCCAGTCACATTCTTGTTACGCAAATAATAGCTGGGGAAAAAGAGGAAGAAGAACTACCAGACAGAAGCAGAAGAACAAACCAAAGAAAGGGGAAGAAGAAGGAACGAGGGAAGAAGAAGGAACCAAGTACCAACGGATTTAATGGACTTTTGAAAGGAAACGGTGTTGTTTGGTATTAAATGAAACTGTGTCGTTTTATTCCAATAATTGTTGTATCATAAATTCCTTATTTCAGCTGGAGTAAATTCCAGTGTAGGTTTGTGCGAAACTGTGTTTGCAAGTTGCAGTTCAGCTCATGACAGATGGTATTAGAGTAGGCATATTATACTGAGCAAACAATAATCATGGATACAAGGTCGAAGGCAGTTGATGAGCACTAGAAGAAATTGGATCTGGAGATTTCTCATCTGGGTAATTCCTTTAAAGCTGTTAACAACGGGCTGAAGAACAAGTTGGCGTCCACTGATCAATCTCTCCAGATAAGTGGGCATAGACAGGAAAAACTTGAAGCTACACTGTTAGATATGAATCATAAAAATGAAAATTTAGTGGCCATGTTGACCCAGTTGTCTTTAGATATCAAAATGGGGCAGAAAAACAAAGGAGTGGAAGAAACTCTGGTCAAGGTGAATTCTGAGGGTGTAATATCTATCTTAGGAGCTAGTAACACTGAAAGTAGTATTTATACTATAGGGGACTTTAAGGGAAATAATAGGCTGCCTAAGTTTGATTTTCCACACTTTGGGGGAGAACCTAAGGAATGGCTTAGAAAGCTAGGGAGTATTTCCAACTTCGTCAGATCCCACATGAATTGAGATTGGGTATTGCTGAAATGTATTTGAAAGGTAAAGCAGATTTGTTTTGCCAGAATTTCACTGTAATTGTTGATTTTATCAACAACTTTTCTCCACCTTCTCTTATTCATTTAACATCATTTATCCTATCTCCATCATATTTTCTTTTAATTTGGTTACAATTTCAGCTCATTCTGCTGTGAGAATTTCACAGTTGATCTGTTGGAAACTTGAGGTTGATAATTGAAATTCAGTTCGTGACAAAATGGTATCAAAGCCAGATTTCCTTGCGAGACACCCTAATGTAGATTGAAGAATCTTCAATTAAGAATTGTGTAAGAGGTTTGATGAGAATACTGAAATTATTGAGGAAGTAGGAGGAAAGGAAATCTGAATCACAGAAAGAGGAAGTTTTTAAGATTTCTATCAATGCTTTGGAAGGAATTCCAGGGCATAAAACTATCAAAATTCCTGGAATTTTAAAGGGGAGGAGGATATCTATTCTAATAGATAGTGGAAGCACACATAGCTTCCTAGATGAGAGACTGGCTAAGGAGCTGAACTACACTACTGAGGAAACCACAACCATGACAATGAGAGTGGCTAATGGTATAAAGCCGGAGAGTAAAGCTTTGAATCAGCCACTGGTTTGGAAGGTGCATAACTGGGAGTTCCAGTATAATTTGAGATCTCTGAAGTTAGGAGGTAGTGCTATGGTATTGAGGGTGAACTGGATGAGTCAGCCTCATAAAATTTGACTTTATCCTAGGATAAGTGAAGTTCAAACACCAGCAGAAAGAGGTTATCTTGAGGAGTGAAGGATCAGAACCCGGGGTTAAAATGATGGAAGTTGAGGAAATGGAGAATTTGTTTAGAAGGTACCATTATGGACTGGCTGGCCATTTGTACAATATTGTGGAGAAAGGGAAAGAAGAAATTCCATGCCAAATCACTGAGGTTATTAGCCAATATACAGAGGTATTTGAAGATCCAACAGGGCTGCCATCTCATAGATCTCATGACCATCATATTCTGTTAAAAGAGATAGCATAACCATTCAAAATTAGGACTCATAAATGCCTTTCTATTCGGAAAATAGAAATAGGGAGGCTAGTGGTGGAGATCGAAAATACAAATTAAATCAACAGTTAAAGGAGAACCTTTCACAGGGAAGTGCAAGGACGAAGCTTTATGCTGATAAAAAGAGACCAGAAAGGCCATTTGTTGAAGGTGATTGGGTATTCCTTAAAACTCCTTCCATACAGGCACCAGTCAGTAGAGTACAGGCAGAACTACAAGCTGGGCGCAAGTTATTTTGGTCCTCACCAGATTATCAAGGAAATAGGGACAGTAGCATATCAGTTGGCACTACGTGAGGGTTCAAAATTCCATCCAATTTTCTATGTGTCGTTGAAAAGGAAGTTAGGTGATAAACATATGCCGGTACTATTTTTGCTTATTAATAGTTATTCCCAACAGGTAGAACATTAACCACGCTCCATCTTACAGTCAAGGATGGTAGAGAGTCGGATCCGCACAGCAAGGCGATGGTTGATTCATTGGTCAGATCTTCCTCCTGACAGTGCAACTTGGGAGAATGTGGAACGGGTTAAAGTTAAATTTCCCAATTGTAGATCTTAGGGGCAAGATCAAAGTGAGGGGGAGGGTTGTTACTTGAAGAGTAGCTAGGGAAATAGAGGAAGAGGAACTACCAGACAGAAGCAGAAGAAGAAACCGGGGAAAAAGAAGGAACCAATTGACTTTTAAATGGAAACGGTGTCGTTTGGTCCTAAATGGAACTGTGTTATTTTATTCCAACAATTTTGTTATTTGTTAGAAATCGTCTTTTACTTTTGGGGTTTGGAAAGCACAACTTTATATGTATATAGCCATGTGCGAAGAGGGAAAGACTGATTTTTCTGCCAAATTGGTTATTAATTGAAGTGCAATTCAGTCTTCTCCTTCTCAATCTTATTTTACATCATTTAATCCGTCCCCCATCATCTTTTACTTTGAATTTAGTATCATAAATTCCTTAATTCAGCTGGAGTAAATTCCAGTGTTGGTTTGTCTGAATCTTTGTTTGCGAGTTGTAGTTCAGCTCGTGACAATTCTATCATTCAAAGGCTTGATTAACGGTATTTAACAACCTCCATTAGCAAAGGCAGCTAACATGTGCTACAGCTTCCAGTCACAGCCATGCGTCCTTCGCATGCTAAAGCCTTCATTAGCTGCTGTTGCCACAACTGTTGGCTACTAGAGCCTCTGGTCATCATCGTTGAGGTTGTCACAGCATGTTTAAGGTCATCAAAAGCTACAATTGAGGCAATCACTGGATGATCCATCTAGTCCTGTGAATGGGCTGAAGTGATTCTAATTTGATCGCCTTTATTGAGCACAATTTTGTTAATGGAGGGACAATTTCCAATTAGGCTACAAGTTAGTCTTTTCTTTATTTGAACGACGAAAGTGCACACTTTGGCAACAACTCGGATGCAGTAAGATGGATAGTGGACAGCAAGGAAACATTGTAGTCACCATTAAGAGTTAATTTTACATTTTGTTTGTGAATTACAAATCTGGTGGCTACGTGGCTACCATGGTCTGAATATTAATGAGGTTGGTCAAGTTCTCTTGAACTTAATCAAATTACTTGATAATCATGAAGTCCATAGGTAATTTCTCTAGGACACAGTTTTTTAAAGATCTTCAAATGGGTTCCTTATGAGTTCTTTTGATTTATTTTGCCAGGATCTGTTGTGATGTATAAAAAAATGGGCTGAAGTGATTCTAATTTGATCGCCTTTATTGAGCACAATTTTGTTAATGGAGGGACAATTTCCAATTAGGCTACAAGTTAGTCTTTTCTTTATTTGAACGACGAAAGTGCACACTTTGGCAACAACTCGGATGCAGTAAGATGGATAGTGGACAGCAAGGAAACATTGTAGTCACCATTAAGAGCTAATTTTACATTTTGTTTGTGAATTACAAATCTGGTGGCTACGTGGCTACCATGGTCTGAATATTAATGAGGTTGATCAAGTTCTCTTGAACTTTATCAAATTACTTGATAATCATGAAGTCCATAGGTAATTTCTCTAGGACACAGTTTTTTAAAGATCTTCAAATGGGTTCCTTATGAGTTCTTTTGATTTATTTTGCCAGGATCTGTTGTGATGTATAAAAAAATGGGCTGAAGTGATTCTAATTTGATCGCCTTTATTGAGCACAATTTTGTTAATGGAGGGACAATTTCCAATTAGGCTACAAGTTAGTCTTTTCTTTATTTGAACGACGAAAGTGCACACTTTGGCAACAACTCGGATGCAGTAAGATGGATAGTGGACAGCAAGGAAACATTGTAGTCACCATTAAGAGCTAATTTTACATTTTGTTTGTGAATTACAAATCTGGTGGCTACGTGGCTACCATGGTCTGAATATTAATGAGGTTGATCAAGTTCTCTTGAACTTTATCAAATTACTTGATAATCATGAAGTCCATAGGTAATTTCTCTAGGACACAGTTTTTTAAAGATCTTCAAATGGGTTCCTTATGAGTTCTTTTGATTTATTTTGCCAGGATCTGTTGTGATGTATAAAAAAATGGGCTGAAGTGATTCTAATTTGATCGCCTTTATTGAGCACAATTTTGTTAATGGAGGGACAATTTCCAATTAGGCTACAAGTTAGTCTTTTCTTTATTTGAACGACGAAAGTGCACACTTTGGCAACAACTCGGATGCAGTAAGATGGATAGTGGACAGCAAGGAAACATTGTAGTCACCATTAAGAGCTAATTTTACATTTTGTTTGTGAATTACAAATCTGGTGGCTATGTGGCTACCATGGTCTGAATATTAATGAGGTTGATCAAGTTCTCTTGAACTTAATCAAATTACTTGATAATCATGAAGTCCATGGGTAATTTCTCTAGGACACAGTTTTTTAAAGATCTTCAAATGGGTTCCTGATGAGTTATTTTGATTTATTTTGCCAGGATCTGTTGTGATGTGTGCTAGAAGTGGTTCCATTGCAAGCGTGTGAAGATTACACCAGCTAGAGCCGAGCATATTAAGCAATACAAGTGTCCTTTATGCAGTAATAAGAGAGCCAGTGCTTGATGTGAAATATTATTATCTGTACTCTTGATAACCATCCAAGTCTTTGTTGTTTAGTTCATTTCTTGTTTGAGTATAATGTGGAGAATTAACCTATGAATAGAACTCTTATTGGGCAGGCTTGCAATTGGTATAGGTTGTCTTGTTATGTTCCCTGTTTTATGTTCTCTTGTAGAGTTTTCAGTTTTTCTTTTGATTATATGATAAGAAGCACATTTAAATCACCCATAATCCCCCCATTTTCTCTTCTAAAATCGTTTGGAATTTACATTTTGTGTGAATGGACTGGTTCTTTTTACACCCGTCTTGTTCTTTTAGGTTAACATTTTGTTTTTGGAATTTGTCGGTATTGTCAAATCTTTTGCCATATGCTTTTGTCAAGTTCTTATTAGTCGGCCACGCCCTATTTTATTTTATATATTAGAGTTCTTAATTTTTGACGTATCATGCCTATCTATAATCAAAATCTGCATGTAGATAAAAAAATACAATTTCGAGTACTACCCAATCAATCTTCTTCTTTGTTACTTGGTATTGCAAATACATTCAAAGAATGAAAAAATTGCATCAAATTTTTGTTGACTTTGTTAATTGTGAGATAGATAATAAATTGAATTTAAATGACAAAATGTGAAATATATTCGTAAGAATAAGTGATCAAGAACAATGAACAGTGCCTATGTGTGTTACAAACCTTGAGAACCATCAGGCAATTGAACTTATACATTTGTATGAATGGTCGAATATGAAGAATAAAAATGAAAGAGATGTACATATATGATTAGAAGCGCTTGAACCGATAATTCAACTAGAAAATAGACAAGTACCTGCCACATGAACTGATGATCTACCAGATTCTTCTTTAGATAGACTTGCAAGAAGCTTGTAGTATTGCTTATATGTCAATTGACTAGCACAAGCAGCGAAAGTAGATGGCGATGTGCCTGATTTTTTATAGACTTATCTGGAGGCCATGGATCTGGTAACATCTATTAGGAATATGACCATGCTTGTTACAAAGTTCACAAAAATAACGTTGGCGCTTTCTAGAAGGACAAAATGGTTGTTTAGACGCTTGAAGCACAGTCGAATCAACGGTAGGAACTGTTTGAATATTAAACTCTTATAGTTTTTCTTCTTGATATACAAAATTGTAGATACGTTGAATTGAAGGAAATGGCTCCATCAAGAAAATTTGACTACGAATAGCTGAAAAACAATCTTGGAGTCCCTGAAGAAACTCTATGGAACAATCTTGATTTTGTTGATCAACAATATTTTTAGCATTAGCACCTATAAATGGAGTGACTGATGTAATGGAACTATGTCCATCCCATAAAGATTTAAGTTCTGTGAAATATAATGAAACAGACATGCGTTCCTACTTGAGGGCGGAAATCGAGTGTTTCAATTCATAGATTTTAGGAGCATTTGATTGAGAAAAATGATCCTTCAGATCCATCCAAATTTGTGCTACAATTTCAGAATATAAGATACTTGGACGGATTTCTGGTGAGACAAAATTAAGAATCCAACTTCCAACCAAATCATTACAACGTTCGAAGTTGGAAACATCATCTTTCTCCTTTGAAATTGGAAGTGATCCACTAACAAAACCAAGTTTGCTTCTTGCACGAAGTGCCATTGTTACTGCATGACTTCATGATCCATAATTCTGTCCAGTCAATAGAGGGTTGGACCACTTGGTTTGTCTCCAATTTAGGCCTAAACCTGAAGATCAATCATGGATCATCACTGCCACATGCTGGGCATCGCAACCCGACGATAAGTGAATAATCTATTATAATGATAACAAATTATAACAACATAACAATGTTAAACGACAGTTCTAATCTTCACAATATGCATGATAATGTCTAATAATATGCCAACAATAGGTGCCACAAGGTATTTATGATAACACATGTATGACTGACAAATGACAATGGTTGTGTGGCAAATTCCAATGAACACACAAAAAAAAAAAAAAAAAAAAAAAAAAAAAAAAGAAAGAGAGAGAGATATTTATAAACAACAATTTCCAAAAAGTGTTTTATGCTTGGTTATTCTCTTCCTCATCTTCTAACTCTTCCACTTCCCCGCTCACATGAGACTCCGCATCGCCTTCATCAGTTCCCAAGGCTTCTGAAAACACCAAAACTTAGCATACTTAATTTTTTTACACTATTTACATTTAAAAGAGTTTCCTCTAAAATTCAATTTAAAATATATATTAGGTAATACTAACATTATCTTCATGCATTATTTTGTTATTTACAATTAGATACAAAAGAACTTTTTACTAATTTTTACTTGGTGAAATGCATATTCAATAAAAGCCTAGATAAAACCAATGTCTTCATAATTGGAATTTGAATATTAATAATAAATTCCAAGGCAAAATCTGAATGGAACTAGAGAACAACTGTACATTCATACCTTCTGTAGCACTTGCACGAAGTTCTTCTATGTCCAAGTGCACCTCACCACTTGAAGCAGTAACAGTATTCTCACTGCTAGGAGTTGGGCTCGAAATACCATGGTTAGTATGTTTGAGAAAAGTACGCCATTCGTCAATATATATTGATTGATCAGGTGATAGATTGGGAATTTCACGCTTCTGAAGGACTTCCAGAATGCCTTGAGTTTCTCCCAAAATGTAACTTGCCTCCTCTATACTTTTCTCCCGTTCTTCTATGGCGCTATTGCTGCATTTCTTGAGTATAAGACGAGGTAAATTGGTCAAGCATGCAACAAATATATCTGAAATGATAACTGACAATCTCTCAAACACTTGAGTATCTAATGCTGAATGATAGCTTTCCTGATAGACCAACAACAAACTGTTGCTTATTTTGTACATTGAATTGGCAATTATGATATTTTCAGGCAAGTTAACTGAGCTTTCCATAGCATTTCCATTCATTCTACTCGTGAATTTCTTCAAAATTTCTTCACTTCTATTTGCAAGATTCTGAAGAGTTTCTTTGGAGGATTTTGATACCGTGGCAATTTCTTGGAGATCCATGTCTAACCACTTGTGCCTCATTTCAACTAAACCCCATGCAAAATCTGCAGCGCTCGTGCTATTCACAATTTTTTTATGAACATCCAGACTTTTCTCCATTGGGCGCACGTACTTAAAACCTTCAATGACACTTCTTAACAACTGATTCTTCTCCTCATTTTGAACATTTGGAATAGCAATCATGATGCTTGTTAGCGTTGCTACGGATAGAGTCCAGCAATTAAGAGGTTCTTCGCAAATTATTAGAGAGACTTTATCACTTTCAAATTTTAGCACACCCTCGAAGCTGGTGGATTTCTCCATAAGCTTCATTAGATATCTTGGCTGACGCTTTGCACCCGTCGTTATGAATGAATTAATAGAAGCGTTAATGAACATCAGGTGCACTTCTTGTACTGCCTCACTTTCTAGAAGTACAAAATAATTTTCAAGAGCTTTCTCGTAACCAAGCCTGTGTTCTGATTCAATGGGATTGACTGAGGCCTTGGATTCCCCGGAGAAAAAATTCTTTATCACATTGAGCCATCTAATGATCAAGGGTTGGAACAACATAGAAACAAATAGTGTTGCGCTTGATAGGTTCCCAATTAGTTTCCAATAACTAAGTGGAATCTCGAATACTTTGAGGTAAATTAAATAAAGTAGGCATGCCATAAGCAATTTATTCATGATCACAATCACTAGCTGAGTTCTTATACAAATGTCGAGAAGTAGATTTCTATTTTCATAAATAATTTTTCTAAACTTCTGGTTTCGAACTTGTGATGGTGGGAGCCTCTTTTTCCACTCTACCAATCTGTTGATCCTGTAACTCTTTATTTCTAAGGAAATACTTGTGATGGTACTTTTTTTAATATTCCGTGCAATGTAAAATATAGCTAATGCCATTCTTCCAAAAGACATCAAAATGCAAAAACCTATGCCTAGAGATTGAGCATAATAAACTAGATACACTGACCATTTATAGTCGGAAGCAATGTCTGGCTTATTGTTTGTAATCACTTCTAATCCATCGACAGAAAAAATTGCACAGATCAATGATAAAACCCAGAAGTCATCAGACCGTGCCATCACTAACCGAGGGTCACCTGTTTCTGCCATCACCCAGTACTTCTTCACATGTGACTTTAACTTGTCGAAGACCATTATTTCGTCTCGTTGTAGTTCCTCTGCTGAAATTCTTGCGTGCAATTCGTTATACTTATGTTCCAAATGCATTTTTCTTATAGATACTGTTAAAGCAGAAGAAATCAATATAAAGAGCATATAAACATCTATAACTACAACCATCACATGGAAATCATCTTCAATCACGCCCGTTAATACTTGGATGATAACATCTACGGTGAGACTCACTTTAAGCATACCAATTGCTGTCAAGTTCACAATAATTTCTCTATTACTCATGGATCCCAGAGAAGGCATGGCATGAGCAGTTGAAGCACACGAGAAAGCAAAGCCAACTCTTTTAGCGGCTTGATCATACGTACCTGGCATCGAGGTAGTTAGATCCATTGGTAACTTCACTGCGATGCCTATCAAAGCCACGAAAGCAGCATTAAGAGCAGCATATCTGCAGGGGAACCATAATTTTCTACGGCCGAGAGAGTGAATTGTATCAGCAAAAAGTAAAAGAGTCCATATTCCAGATGCTACAGCAGCGTATACGCCTATCCATGGAATTGGTGCTTTAGAGTCAATCATTTTGTTGAATCATTCAGCTCTCTTCCAGCGACTGCACTTCGGATTTTAAGATGGGGATGCTCAATGTCGCACGAAATTTCTTTGTTATTTCAATGCAACTTCAGCTTGTATTTTCTACCCGTTGATGTATCCATAAAGAAAAACATATCCAATAAATTATTGGGTGAGGTTTAGAGTGGGAATTCTTTTGGATTAATAAGAGGAAATGCCCAGGTCCCAGCCTTGAATGTTTAGTTAGTATGCTACTTAATAAGAATAACTTATCATTCACACGTTAGTGCTCATAATATTATATTAATTGTTGATTGACTTAAATTTTCATCAATTATTTAAGCTAAGCCTAAAAGGGACAAAGTTCGTTTTTGAGCTTTCAATCTTGTTGCAAGGTTTCTTCCATGTAACTTCAAGTAATAGATCATATTTCAATTCCACAAAAGTTGATGTATCTAGAGAACTTAAATTTTAGTTTTCAAGTCTTCAGGTTTTACTATT